GGCATACTGCTCTGAATCCCCAATTTATATGAGAGTGAATAGGAAAAAGTACGTGTAAAACACTGTTTGGTTCTGTTCTTAAATTCCTGGGAGTTTTATACTGAAATGAGCACAGGTTATGAAAACAGCAGCCCAGGACAAACCCTCTTTGGGAAGGTCTGAGCAGCTCCAACTGCAGGAGAGGTCCCAGGAGCTCCTCGGGCACCTCCTTTCCTGGATCCAGTTAATGTGAGGGAATAGTGACCTCAGGTGTCTGTTAAATTAATCACACGGATATTTCCCATGGATTTACCATTCCATTGCTCTAATGGACATTCCCACTGAAAATGAAGCTGCTGGGAGCTGTCATCATTGGCAAAGTCTCCTGGTTTTTCTGGCCTTGGCACTTAAGCTTTCCCAAAAACACCTACAGGGACCTTCTTGAGGGCCCAGCCACCTGCACATAAGCCTGAGAGCAAATCTATATTGAAACCTGTTTTTAAATAGTGTTAATTTTTTAATTTAACATATATTTAAATGGTGTGCTTGCTGTCCTTGCTTATCACACAGATCCTTTAAATGCTGTTAAAGAATATGGCAGCAGAGGCAGAAAACTCCTATATAAATTAAATACAAATATATAAATTAAAAACACATAAGAAATCAGTACAAACTGATATGGCTTTCACTAGGGGTGAGATTCAGGCTGCTTTGCTTTTTATCTCATTTAGTGCAAAAATATAAAATCCTTCAAAAGTGGTTGTAACACAGTTTAAAACACACCAATTTTCCATGGAAGCCAGAGGACAACCAGAGCTTGCACAGGCAACACAAAGTATCTTGATGACTACAAAGAACCCAGTTCTGATATTCACTGAGGCTGTGCCTTTAGCTGAGGTGGGATTTGGTATATTAGCACCAAAATTAGGCAGAGAAAATAAATCTGCAGTTGAAAATAAATCTGCAATGGAAACTTTTCCAGCATTATCAGGATCCAATTCTCCTCCCAGTGACTTCAAGGACGTGGCTTCTATAAAGGACAGGCTTTGTCCTACCCCTCTCCAAATGCCAGCCTGGAAGTGTTTTATTTCCTAAATCAAAGATGGAATGATTCATCAGGGCTTCAAAGTAAAAACTATGTATCACCCACTGTGTAGCAGGGGCTCTGAAACAAAACTTCAGAGCAGGGCACCATTCTTTTTTTTTGTTGTGCTTTTTCCTTTCATTGCTCTTAATAATATGGTTCATAGCGAATCTCCAGAGAGGTCTCCAAAGAAACTTAATTTCAAAGGGGCAGAAGTGAGTAACTGTGCAAACACAAGCAGCACACCAAAGAAAAATGTGCCAAAGAATTAAAAACATAGCAGAAAGCTGGACAGGCTGTGATTTTCAGTCTTTGAGTGAAAGAACTCTTCATTTCCATCAGGATGGTACCACATTAAATAAATCCCACACAACGTATTGATGCAATTCAACTTTATTTTTCTCCAGCAAAACCTGCAGGAAACAAATACTGATCCACAAACAAACCAAGGTATCACAGAATCATCAAATGATACAATGCTTTGGGTTGGAAATTATCTTAATGGTCATTGAATTCTGACCCCCTGCCACAGCAGTTCCTCCTTTTCAAAGGGTGCTTATGATACATTACAAATGGAATATAAACACAGCGGACTGTACCGGCTCTTCTACTTCTAAATCAAAGTATAACTTAATTCTTAATTAATAAATTGTAACAGTGTACGTCCCTCACGGTTCCCACCCGCCTCTCCATGGCTCCCTCACGGCCCTTTCCATGTCTCCCTCAGAACTCCTCCATGGCTCCCTCACGGCCCTTTTCGGGCTCCCTCAGAACTCCCCCATGGCTCACTCACGGCCCTTTTTGGGCTCCCTCAGAACTCCTCCATGGCTCCCTCATGTCCCTTCTCAGGCTCCCTCAGAACTCCCCCATGGCTCCCTCACGGCCCTTTTCGGGCTCCCTCAGAACTCCTCCATGGCTCCCTCACGGCCCTTTTCGGGCTCCCTCAGAGCTCCTCCATGGCTTCCTCAGAGCTCCTCCATAGCTCCCTCACGGTTCCCGCTCGCTTCTCCATGGCGGCTCCATCACGACCCACTCACGGATCCCCCATGGCTCTCCCACAGCTCCCGCCTGCCTCTTCACGGCCCCCTAACAGCCCTTTCCACGTTCCCTCACGGCTCCCTCACCGCTTCCCCCCGTCTCTCCACGGCCCCTCTCGGCTCTTCCCTGTCTCCCTCACAGCTCCCCTACACCTCCTCTCTGTCCCTCCGCGTCCCCTCGCTCCACCCTCTGGCGGGCCGGGCTGAGCTCGACCCCGCCATCTCCTCCCCTTCCTCCTGCGGCCGGAAAGCGCCGCGCGTTCCGCGGCCATGGAGTACCTGCCGGCCCCGGCGGCCCCGG